AGGTCGAGGGAGAGCTGCGAGCTCCACGTGCAGCCAAACACTGTGGCACTGCTCTGTGGGAGAGGAGGAGGGACTCTGGCTGCTAGAGGCCCCAGTGGCTGCGAGCGGCTTTCAATCAGGCCCAGCCGTCCAATCAGCTGCACCGCACTCTGCATGAGGGGAAGGGGGAAATCCCAGACATTTCTACTTTATTAGAAATCCCCCCCCAGACGGCCATTTAAAGCTGAAAAAGCCAGACATATCCGGGGAAACCCGGACGGATGGTAACCCTACTCAATGATGTGTTTAAAATGTTAACGATTATTTTGTATTAACATCATATTTTGCATTAATAGCAGTAAGGATGGTTAATTAAGCCAAAGCAAGAAAGTTTATACATATAGCTTATGGGCTTGTCTACACAAGGCGTAATTCCAGAATAGCTATCCTGATCAACTCCATATGTGGATGCTCTTATTTTGGAATAAAACTGCCTTATTCCAAAGGAGCTTAATCCATTTTGCAATAGTTAATCTGCTTTAAATTCATACTGTACCTTATTCTGGATTATTTTTCAGGTGTAGACAAACCCTTAAAAATGCAACTGCTTTGCAGACCTCAAGATGGGATATATTACAGGGGTGGCCAAACTTACTGACCCTCCGAGCCGCATATGACAATCTTCAGAAGTTCGAGAGTCAGGGTGCATCTGCTGGAGCTCTGGGCTTCCCCACTCCCTGCAGGACTGTCTCGGGGCTTCAGCATCCTGGGAGGGCTCGGGGCTGAAGCCCCACTCCTGCTGAAATCCGAGCCCTGCCAGGCTGAATCCCCAAGACCTCCCTCTTTGCTGGGCAGAAGCCAGAAGCAATGTGGGGGGGACAGGATGTGGGGTCATGTCCCCCCCAGCCCTGATTTTTGCCAAGTGTTGCTGGCCCCACTTGGTCACATGGTGCTACCACGCCCCTCCTTGCATAGCAGCTGCTAGAGCCAGCAAGCTGGGAGCTGCGGCCGGCCGGCTGTGGGGAGAGGCAGCAGCCTCTCCCTGCAGCTCCCAGCTGTTTGCCACTGTCTCTCCAGGCAGAGCTAACACTTGGGAGCTGCAGGGAGGGGCCACTGAGGGTAAGGGGGGGGCATGATTCAAGCTGTTGGGCGGACCAACCTTTATATTGTGCCCTCACACTCTCAGCAGGCACCAGTCACCTCTGGCAGAAGCCCCTAGCCCCACCAGGGCAGTAGTCCTAAGCTCTCCCCCGCACTAGTCTGGTGGGTGGAGAATGGGGATGCACTGGGGGGGGGGAGCCCCACAAGCCACACTTCAACTGTAAAAGAGCCACAGTGTGGCCACCCCGATATATTATGAACAGTTTACCTCTACATCCAGCTCCAGAATGTCAGCAGTTCTTTTAAGTAGGAAGCCAATATTGGGTTTTGTTCTTCCAAAATCTCCATGTACAAACTCTTTAATGTAACTAGATCTTGCTTAAGGAAAAGTGAGTGTGGGCCTTTCGTGACCGGAGCTGATTAATGAAGAAAGGTGAAAAGGATATGGCGAAAAACACAAAGCAGAAATACAAAATCTATTTCTGTTCCTGATCACAATCCATGCTTGTGTTTGTTTTAAACTGGGTAGTGACATTTTACTAAATTCTAAACCTGTTACAGTAAACAGCAACAACCGATACTACATACCAATATTCAGTCATTAGAATGGTTTCATTTTAAAAATGTTATATAACTATTTCTCAGATAATAAATGAGTGAGTCATACTGCTAACTTTCCTTAAACAGACTCTTAGTACCTAAGTGTTAGGCAAATATTAAAACATAAAAACAAATACTTTTAACCCAGGATCTAACAAACTTGCAAATACAAATTAATTACATATCTTGAACCTCCCCCACGCCCTCCATTGCATCTAGGGAATGAAACACATTTCTCCTGATTCAATGGAAGCTGGAATAGGACTCTTGGTATGTTTATTCACGCAGTTTTGGAGGCCCATATAAGAACTAGAACCAAGAGGGTGGATTAAAAAGTGTTTTTCAGGCAAAACTGAGAATTTCTTAACACATCCACTCAGAATACACAGCGAGTTTATAATGCTACTACGCAAATCAATCTGAAAAGTACTATTGGCTATGTCTGATACTTAACGTCAATACTGAGAGGTTTTACTTAAAAAAACAAAAACAGCTGAGTGCTTAGGGTATACTACAGATGTAGAGCCAAATGCTGCCCCCCAAACACCACTGAAGACTTCAGTGAAAATACAGGCAAAAAAACCTCAGCAATTGGCATATAATATGCACAGATCTTTATCCCAATCTAGACTATGCCAAAGGCTTGCAACACTCCATTTTTAAATTACAGACAAATAAAGGGCCTGAAATCTGTGTATATCTATACATTTGTTGCTCTCCTGTACCTTGAAAATAATTAGGGGCTTTTTTTTGTTACTAAGCAAAACAATGTATACCAATTGCATTTCTGAGCTTGTAACTTGTACATGTTTCAGCTCAAAGCAAACTTTAAAAAAACCCTTAAAACCCAGTGTATGAACTGTTGAAAAATCAGGGGTTTATACTGCAAACCGACTACACTAGCACTTGCAAAAGAAAACACCACCTGTATGACCACGGTAACAACATACTATTTCTAAAATTTATCATGCAGTAGGTCTAAAGGATACGTCCCTGCCTGAGTTTTCAGATGCAGGCGAAAGTGATGGTCATCTATGTACTCGGATTTCATAGTGTGAATGACGCGAGATCTTACAGCTAAGGGCCTTCTGTGAAGAACCCGCAGAGGTGTTTTTTGATCAATCTTTAATTCCTGTTGGAGAATTTAAAACAAATAAAGAACTGTCCAACACAGAGCACACACAAATTAACACATATATAGCTTTTTCTTTTCATGTAAGACTACTTTTTAATAATATATTCTGGTAGTTGAAGGATCTTCTGAGAAGTGTTTCTTCTTTAAGTCTTCCTCCAAGTATATCAAAGAAAAAAGGGGGCAACTATCTATTAAAGTCTTATTGGGAAGGCCTCATGCGGATACAAGCTAGTGGAACCACAAATGCAGAGGCATAATAACCTTGAAATCTCCATAGTCTCTTGCTGGAATAACTCCAGGATTTACAAACTCAATGAGAGCCTCAGGGCACTCTCAAAAAAATTAAAGGCTTTTGTCTAAACTGCATCCAACCCTCCACAAATAAGAATTAGAAAGCAGAGCTGAGACGACCAAAGATTTCATCACATATCTTTAAAGAGCTTTCCTCTACAAAAAGAGGCATTGATTTGGGAAGCATCTTTTTCTAGTATGATAAAAAAACTGTTGAGCACCAATTGTCCTCATGCATTTTAATACTTCAAGCCAAAATACACACAACTTTTGGAGTAAAGACTAAGTAACAGTAGTCTCTACTTGACAATGCTCTTGCTACCAGACTCTTAAGGCCAATGTTCCAACACTAGAAAACCTGAACATAGAAATGGGCATTCTACCAGCCAGCATATCTCAACACAATGTGTCTCACCGACTGACACTTGGGACAGTCCATATTCCACCACTGCATTCTCTTCACTTCAGATACTTGTGTCAGACCTTTGGTTTGCATGATTTTGCACAGCCATCTGAATGTGGATTTATTTGCTGTGACTGTCCCCAAAGTGACTTTGACTGGGGCTGGACAGAACAAGAAGCTATAGCTACTAGTTCTGCTTTAACCTCCTCCTCTGTTTTGCTCGTCTACCCTTAGCAATGTTGAGATGGCATGAAGGTAGGTGACCAGACAGCATATGTGAAAAATCGGGATGGGGGTGGAGGGTAATAGGAACTTATATAAGAAAAAGACCCAAAAATCGGGACTGTCCCTATAAAATCGGGACAGCTGGTCACCCTACATGGGGAGAGAGATTTCCACCTCCAAAAGCACTTTGTGCTGTCTGATAACAGGCACAACATCTGCCTCCGATAGGCTAATAACTGGTCATCCTGGGTGAAGGAGAAGCACAGCATCAGTGACTGTGTGGTAGGAAAGATTAGACTTAACAGCATAAGAGGAATGGCAAATGGGAGAGTGGATACAATAAGTCCTAGAATAAAAGGGCACGAGGAACCCATGATCAATAAAACACAGTGAGAGAGAAAAAGAGAGACACATGCACTACCTACCAAGAGGTAGGTACCTATAAAAGCAAGAAAAATACAGATACCTTCATATCATCTAGAAGTGCAATATCTTCCTTCTGTATTGCTTTGTCTGTCCATATTAAGGCACTGTAGGTCTTTGTCTTTTCCTCCTCACCTTCTTTCATATGTCCAATTGCCTCTCTAAACAAAAGAAATGAATCACACATAAGTATAACTACACAGCTGTATAAATGAGGATGTTTGCAGAATTCCCAAAGCATCGTTCTGAAATCCCTTGCCAGAGACAGTAAATACTGACCTGGTGACAAGCTGTAAATCTCGAACTTTTATTTTGTCTGAAGAGTTATTAATTTTCTGTGATGTCAGAAAAGGAATTGGTTAGCAAAGCTGCCCTGTTACAAAAGTACATGTGCTTTATGATTTTCATGAAGTGCAAATGATTTACCTGCTGAAGTTCCTTCATTTCCATGGCAGTAAAATGTATTCTATGAGGATTCACAAGCTCAATTGCAAAGGGCCTTCCTGGCAACATGCATAGAGTCATAAAACATAAAAACATGTTGTTCTAAATTAATGTTTGGATTTATGCATTAAGGTCGGAAGGTGTGAAAAATTTGTCTACTCTTATGCACACACATATGGGGTTTCAAGTTATCAGAGACATCGCCATCAAATGGAAGGAAAGAAACAAGGGACGTTTTTTGGCTACTAAACCTAAGTATTATCAGTAAGTGCAAATTACTGCTTCCCAGAAGACATCTTGTACAAGTCTGTGCTAATTAAAAAATAAAATAAGAAAAAAGTTAATTAGCTTATTTTCTGTCACCTACAGCAATGCCCAGGTGCAAGATGATGTTAAACTCAGCTCCCTCAACTAAACATCTGTTGAAATGGCTGCACTTTCTGTGCTCTGGGCCAGCGCTGATCCCAGGATATGCAATGCCTGGAATTATACCACAAATTAGCCAGCGTCTGGTACACCTCATTATTGATTTTTACTCTTTTTGCTACAGTTGTTTCAGTGTAGCTGAAAGCTATTGGAAGTATTAGCATAGCTGATTAAAGGAGCTACATCCAGAAAGTGAAATGAATATCTTGAAAGAGCAACAGGCATTTTTCTAACTAAAAGATGCAAAACAGAATTACGTAACAGAAAACAATATATTTATTAATGTGACATAAATGGATTAAAATTAGGAAATGTAAGACAGAATATTTATAACAAGCTATGGATTTCTAAATGTTTGTATTTGGGCAGCCAAGAAGATTATGGTGAGGTCTATTCTCTCACACAGAGTTCTTTTTATGAAATAATGTCTGTCTGTGCCTCTAAATAAATACGTCAGTAAAATTATTGAGAGAATGTTTCAAAGTAGCATTTGTGTCACAAGCTAGTTTTCCATTTACAAACAACAAAATCTGTCTGAGTAGCTCCAAGACATCATTTTGTTCGGTTTATGCCTTTAATGAAGGGACATTCCAACCTTACCTCTGCCTAGCGTTCTCACATCCACATCTTCTCTTCCCGAGGATGAAAAATTAAAACCTTTAAAAACAAATATGAACAGAGAATGAGAGATTTTACCTTTAAATTTTTTAATCAATCTAAAGCTTTCTCAGCTTGTTTGTAAAAAAAGAAGAAAAACTGTTTAAATCTATTTTAAAATGTAGTCTTCAGTCTATTTTAACAAAACTGGAGACAGTCACTGTCTCATCCCTCAAATAGAGACTTCCTAGTTCCTCTGCCTAAGTGAGGGACATCACAACCTTGAGAAAGTTTGAAAGAGCAATTTAATCCTAAAAGGAATCCCACTCGTTGCTAATCCCTACTCCTTTTCTTACCCAGATGGAGTTAAATACCTAAAGGTTGTGATTGAACTCAATCTGAGACTCCAGCCTTTTGTTGTCTCCTCACGCCGTGACTCTTATCCTGAACACACTCATGAGTTCCCAAGATTTCAGCGAGATTCCTCACTTCTGAAGCTATTTGTCTGTTAATCATACACTTGGCCACAAAGGGAAGGGAACTTCAGGTGTCACCTACAAGAATAGACTTATTTTTTCTCTCTCAAGATATGGTAAGGATTAGATTGGTACTTAACGTCCTACCTCTGACTCCTTCCCCAGTTAACCTGCCCCAGGAGCAGTCACACCTCCATCCCTCCAAGGAAGAACATGGAAAAAATTCACACTCTGGATATGACAGTAGCTTTGTGGAGCTGTCTTAAGAGAACCCTGAAGGCCACACAAACTGGACATCTCTCTTCATTGTGTATGGGGTTTCCTCAGCTTCCACTGCCAGGTGAGTGAGGGACAGAAGCAGTGAGGTCTACCCAGCCATCTCCATCAACCATTGGGGTACTTACTAGTTCTATCAGGTCACTAACCACATCAGCAACAGAAATGGGAAGGTGATCCCTTGCTTGGGTTCTGCAAGCTACCGGTTGGAGCAGACCTTCATACCTTTTCTCACCATTAATGTACAAACCAGTGTGGATAGCAGCTGTGGGAGTTCTGCATGCTAAAATCAGGTGCCTCTCAGTACCTTCCCTAATAGTATGCTGTGATTACTACTTTGGGATTTTCCCAGTGTCCAGTCTGACATATACAACTGCGGGGGAAAAGGAATTTTGCTAATTTCGAATTAAATTTGTCCTTGTATCTAATGGTCACTATCCCTGAGTCTGGGGGCCAAGAAATGGACAATAAGCACCCTTCCCCTACAGATAAACTCCTATTTAATTGATTAGAATTTAGACAGTTGATCTCTATGCACAGCAGAAAGGCAGTGTAACAAGACCAAGAGAAAAGGGTCAAGGTAGGTATTCTGGAACACTTGAGATAGAAGCAATTAATAAACAAGGCTTTCCAGCTGGGAGTATGAGGATCCGCAGCTCTAGAACCTGCTGCATGCACACTACCTCCCAACAGCTCTGGCAGAGCATCAGTCAACAGGCTATGAGCCTTGCAGGCCCAAGCACCACAGGACGTGCTGCCCACAGGGGGCCTGATTGGCACTGCTTCCAGGGTCCCTGATGGGTCCAGGTGCAATAGTTAAGCTGGAGGAGACACCAAGAATCTGTCTGTGCAACTAGGTGGATCCCCAGCCACCTGCTATGACAGACCCTGTTCCTTCATCTTCCTCTGATTCCTGGCTTCTGACTCTGGCTCTGACCCTTTGCTCCAGCTCAACCCGCAAGTTCTGACTCCACACACTAGGCTTGACCGCTCATGCCCCAACCATGCCTGGGAGTTAAGCCCCACTCACCACTGGATGAATACATTCACACTTACTTCACTTTCACACTGCAATAGTCAGAGGATAAGATAATAAACCAATATGTTATTAATCTTTTTAGCATTTCTTAATTGTTAAATAGTGTCTTCTGTAATGAGCATTCATTTATAAATTGTTAAGAAAGAGGTGTAGGAGTTAAAACAGAGTACCACACATGCTGGACCCACTGGCATCATCAGGCTCAGCTGCAGAACTATTTTAAAAGGGTAATACTAGACAAAATAAAGCAAGCATTGAATTATTTAATGATCAGGCATAACATAGGCTATGGAAGGACCAGCCTTGGCTTGCAAGGACAGCTGAGAAGGATGAGAGAGTAGTTCTCTCTCCACGTGCATTCAATTTGCCTGTCTATTGAGGCTGGTAACCCAATAGGCCAGTTGTGGGAGTTGTTTTCAGGATGTGTAAGAAAAATTAACCCAAGTACTATGAATTAGATATACAATACTGGACACTCACTATCTGCTTTAAACGCTGTCATTAGGTGCTCTGAAATCAGCTCTTCCACTGAAGACTCCAGCTTTCGCTCTCCATCTATAATCCAGGGAGTTTGTGGTAAATTCCTTGAATATTTGTTGTACCTTCCTGTCAAAAGAACAAGTATGTTACCATTAATGCATCCAACACAGTGGTTCTCAACCCCCGCGGCCGGTGGGCCACTTGCCGCCCAATCAGCACACAGCTGTGGCCCATGTGACATCCTCAGTGCCATACAGGTAGTATATATATTGTGTGGATGTGGCCAACATAACACACAGAGTGCTGTATATGCGGCCCACAATGGTAAATAGGGTGAGAACCACTGAGCTCACATAATGGACTGGCGCTTTGAGTTCTAGTGTTTCATAGCACATTTTACCTAGTCTTATGGAGAAAGATAAATTCCCTAGTCTTATGGGGAAAGATAAATTCTCATGTTTGTTATTAATAATTTACATACTATGGGGAGAGCACAACAGGAAGGCTCAGGAGGAAATTAAGAATGTTCTATTCAGTGCAGGGTTTGGATGATATATGTTAAATAAAGTGGGGTCCACAACTGAAAAAAGGGGGGGGGGGGTAAAAGGAAATACCAAATAACTTCTCATTCACTGAATGAGGCAGGGGCCGTGTGTTAACAATAGTATATGATTATGTAATTAAAGGTTGTATGATAATACACCTGCTCCAGGGAGCCAAATTAAGGTTCCACAGCAATCTTAATTCTGGAATTTTTGAGTACTTGACTTTGTCACCTTATTGTTCTTTTTAACATAGTTTGTTGGATGTAAGTGGTGTAGTATTCCTGCATCATATCACATTTCTCTTCCTTTTTCTTTTTTTTAAATGAAATTAAATGCAAAAAACAATGCTAATACATTGTTACAGCTGATACTTTGCATCTTACGGATAGGGAATTCAAATGTAGGGATTCTCCAGCAACTGTAACTCAGCAATATTGCACACCTATATTAAATCATTAAAATTAACACCATGTACTAAATACTACACAGGCACAAGGGTTCTCGAATTACAGTTGCTATGGAGATTACAATTTTGAATTTCTGATTTCTGTGCATAAATAAAACAGAGATAGGAAAACACTAGATCAGAGCTGTTCTCTCCATTCTGATAGCGGATATGTGCCAGAGAGGTCACAGTTAGAGCTGGTTAGAACATCATTTCATTAAAGCCAAAATGTTTCAGGGACGGGTTCGGTCACAGAGATCCCCTTGGGACTGTCACCTGACATGCTGGAATTACCTCTGAGCCCATTTTCCACTGCCAGCTTGGGACTCCAGAACCCTGCCTTGTTGAGCCAGACATGCTAGTCTGCTGCAACACAACCCCAGGTCTGGTCCACGCCCCCAAAGCTGCGGACTTTAACCAAAAACTGCTCAGCAAGTCACGTATCTCCAGCACCCAGATGCCCAGCTCCCATTGGGATCCAAACCCCAAATAAATCCGTTTTACTCAGTATAAAGCTTATACAGGGTAAACTCATAAATTGTCTGCCCTCTATAACACTGACAGAGAGATATGCACAGCTGTTTGTTTCCCCGGGTATTAATCATTTACTCTGGGTTTACTAATAAACAAAAGTAATTTTATTAAGTATAAAAAGTAGGATTTATGTGGTTTCAAGTAATAACAGACAGAACAAAGTAAGTTACGAAGCAAAATAAAACAAAACACGCAAGTCTAAGCCTAATACCTTTAATAAACTGAATATATGTAAATCTCACTGTCAGAGATGTTCCAATAAGCTTCTTTCACAGACTAGACGCCTTCTTAGTCTGGGCCCAATCCTTTCCCCTGGTACAGTTCTTGTTAGTTCCAGCTCAGGTGGTAACTAGGGGATTTCTCAGGACTGGCAACCTCTTTGTCCTGCTCCACCCCCTTTTATAGCTTTGGCACAAGGCGGGAATCCTTTGTCTCTCTGGGTCCCCACCCCTTCTTCTAAATGGAAAAGCACCAGGTTTAAGATGGATTCCAGTACCAGGTGACATGGTCACATGTCCTGTGAGACCCCAAGCCTCCATTCTTCCCAGCCTGACTCGCGAACACAGGAAGGCTTACAAATAAACAGAGCCATTTACAACCAATTGTCCTGGTCAATGGGAGCCATCAAGATTCCAAGCCATCATTAATGGCCCACACTTTGCGTAATTACGATAGGACTTCAGAGTAATACTTCATATTTCTAGCTTCAGATACAAGAATGATACATTCAGACAAATAGGATGAACAAACTCAGTAGATTATAAGCTTTGTAATGATACCTTATAAGAGACCTTTTGCATAAAGCATATTCCAGTTACATCATATTCACACTCATAAGCATATTTCCATAAACATATGGAGTGCAATGTCACAGAGACATATCCAGGAGGGTCGGGGGAAGGAGAGAGAAAGGTGTAGAGCCTGATGATTAGGTCAACAGGAAACTCAAGCCTGGTCTACACTAGAAAATTAGGTCATTTTTACGGTCAGAAATGTGAAAAATCCACCCTCCTGAGCAGCAGTTATGCTGACCTAAGTCCCCAAGTAGCCAGTGCTAGGTTGACAGAGGAATTCTTCCATTGACCGATGTACCACCTCTTGGGGAGGTGGATTAACTACATCAATGGGAGAATCCCTCCTGGCACGACAGGTAGTGTCTACACTGAATCATAGAATATCGGGGTTGGAAGGGACCTCAGGAGGTCATCTAGTCCAACCCCCTATTCAAAGCAGGACCAATTCCCAACTAAATCATCCCAGCCAGGGCTTTGTCAAGCCTGACCTTAAAAACCTCTAAGGATGGAGATTCCACCACCTCCCTAGGTAACCCATTCCAGTGCTTCACCACCCTCCTAGTGAAAAAGCTTTTCCTAATATCCAACCTAAACCTCCCCCACTGCAACTTGAGACTATTACTCCTTGTTCTGTCATCAGGTATCACTGAGAACAGTCTAGATCAGGGGTCGGCAACCTTTCAGAAGTGGTGTGCCGAGTCTTCATTTATTCACTCTAATTTAAGGTTTCGCGTGCCGGTAATACATTTTAACGTTTTTAGAAGGTCTCTTTCTCTAAGTCTATAATATATAACTAAACTGTTGTTGTATGTAAAGTAAATAAGGTTTTTAAAATGTTTAAGAAACTTCATTTCAAATTAAATTAAAATGCAGAGCCCCCGGACCTGTGGCCAGGATCCGGGCAGTGAGAGTGCCACTGAAAATCAGCTCGTGTGCCGGTGGCATGCATGCCATAGGCTGCCTACCCCTGGTCTAGATCCTTCCTCTTTGGAACCCCCTTTCAGGTAGTTGAAAGCAGCTATCAAATCCCCCCTCATTCTTCTCTTCTGCAGACTAAGCACTACAGTGGCGCAGTTTGTACCGTTTTAAGTGAGACAAGCCCCCACGTTCAATCCCTAGGCCTCATTCAGAGTGATTTGGGATGAAAAACATTCCCCTGAATCAGGAAGAGCAGGGACTTGAACCTGAGTCTCTCACGTCCCAGTACTCTAAACACCTACCCATATGTCATTTCCCAAATCACAAAGCTCAGGTTTCAATCAGAAAACATGCATTTCAAAACAATTCCATTTTCATGAAAACATTCGGAAGGTTTTAGTTTTGTTTCGATGTGGAACAAGGCTGAATTTAGAAACCTCAAAAGCTGCCATAAAACAGAATTGTCTTCCTCTGATCTGCTCTAGTCACAGCCTCATGTTATCGCATGTTAATACAACACCTCCCACAGAACATAAGGAATGCTTCAATCAAGGAACAATCCTGAACTGGCTGGGAGATGGAACTGGGTTATCTAAAAGGACTTTTCCATCTCTCACTTCTATGAGAAATAAGAGTGTGTGTCATGGCAAGAACTGATTTATGAAGGGTGGTGAAGCACTGGAATGCGTTATCTAGGGAAGTGGCGGAGTCTCTTTCCTTGGAGGTTTTTAAGGCCTGGCTTGACAAAGCCCTGGCTGAGATGATTTAGGTGGGAACTGGTCCTGCTTTGAGCAGGGGATTGGATTAGATGACCTCCTGAGGTCCCTTCCAACCCTGATATTCTATGATTCTATGAAGAATTGCAGGGTGCAAAAACCCTATTTTAATATAAAGTTAGAGAGTTCTTCAAACTGAAATCTAGTTTATTAAAAACATAAGAGTTCAAAGCAGCTACAGGTACACCACCTTCCTCTCATCCCCTGGTCAGCTTTTATGATTTTACTATCACATTTTCCTGTTTTTAAAAATGTTCCTCCCTCCCCCCCCTTGCTCTGTGAAAAACCCCACACAAACAAATGAGGAAACTGACTAATACTGCTTCTTTTGGGAAACTGTGAAATGAATATGCACAAAGCATTGTCAAATGCACAAAGTAATCAAAATGTTAAGAGAGAGAAATACTACATCTCTCTCAATTTTAATAAACTTAGGTGTTACTTGTAACAATAGTAGGCTAAAGCCAAGCCAGATAGACACGATTTTCAATTTGACAGTTTCCTCTTAATATTGCAAATTTTTACTAAGAGTCAGGAAATGCAAAAGTGAAGGTCCTGAAAACATCATCAACTCTCATGCACTCCACTCACTGGGTCAGATTCTGATTGTCATTTACACTGCTGTAAAACAAGAGTAACACCACTATAGTCAACAGACTTTGCTCTATTCTGGATTTACACTAGCCTAAACTGAGAACAGAATCCTGCACGTTGTATATTACTGGATTTATATAACAAATAAACAGGGCTGCGTATCCAAGGCTGTAGATGCCCCTGCCATAAGTTATTAAAACAATATGAGATCACCTGCAGAACACCAAGCCCCTCTTTCCTCCATGTCATAGTTCAGGGCAACTGCACCTATATTTCCCCTCACTGGTCCAGCAAAGCCACCCACTCTCAGGCTTCCAGCTGTCCAGCCGTAGCCTTTCTTGGGTGGAGAGCCGCATCTCAGTCCCTTCTGACTCGGGTATTTCCAGGCTGCACAGTTCCCTGCCTTCACTGTGTTATCCCCAACACAGACAGGCAGCCCAAGCAGAACCTGACTGTTTTCTCTTCAGAGATGGTTAACAAGTGTAACTGCTGCAGTTATAAGGTATCACACAGGTTTCTATGCAAGACTGTATTATTCTTAAGGTAAAAGCACTACAGAGAAAACATATTAAAAACAATAAAAGAACCTACATGCATACTAATAAGCTTACAAGGAACACCCCAATCCTAACATGGATTCTGCCAGGAGCAATCCTTCAAATCTCCATCCAAGGGGAGTCCTCGTGGTTATAAGTTCATCATAGCTTCAGCTCAGACTAAGCACCCAGTGCTATGGGGCCCCAGCAGACCCAGTCTTTCCAAGCCTAAACTAAGGATTGGGGCCCTTCATGTACCAAGGTCTCCTGTCCATTTGCTGAATCGGGAAGACGGCCTTGAGCCAGTTTAAAACCAGGCTATTTATCCAAAAATCATTTGTTTGTCTCTTAGTCCCTGGAGAATCCAGTTTGAACTAGCATATGCATACCTCTCCAGGGGGGTGGCTTCAAAGGGCTGATAATGGAGGAACTACATTAGCATTCCCCTTCTAGTAAACAAGGTATATGTAATTCCACAACACATACACATTTGCATTTTTAATACAATGACCCCCCAAAGGTATTAAACCTAATTCAATAAGGTTTAACTTCATTCAATAAAGTTTATTCAGGATATTGCAGGAAACTGACAGTCTGTCACACTCACACACATGGATTTTCTCAAAGGCCCACCTTTGCAGCAGCCAGTGAAAATAGATGTGTGTGTTTTGCAGCAAATACATATTTGAAAGCCAACAGACTTGGGCTATTTTGATCCCATTAAAATAAATATTTCGCAGCCCAATTAGTAAATTAAAATATTACATATATGCAGTATGGAAGTGCTAGCTGGCCGAGAGAATGTTAACTTTTCCATTTTAATATTTTATTTTATATCTTTCCCCCCCCCCCTTTAAATGTTAACCTATAATACTTTTAGTTCTATATTCTGATAATGCTTATAATGCAATCTCATGCTTCAAGGCTTCAACCAGTCACCTATGGGGCTCAGGAAGGAAGGGAGTATATGGATCACCTGCTAGGATCATCTGGATCTATCTCACCTAATTGATTCCCTGCTATTGCAGGGGCCTCAGGTTTTGGCAGCACCTCAATCTCTCCAGTTCTCGGTCTTTAGTCTCCTGAGGACTAAAATGCTTTCATTTAACTAACGTCATTGGGCTCAACATAGGGGTATCTGGGTGATGTTTACTAGCCTATGATATGAAGAAGGTCAGACTAGATCAGTGGTTTCCAAACTGCAAGTTGCGACCCAGTACTAGGTCGCTGAATGTAAGGCACTGGGTCGCGGCGGTTCTGGTCAGCACCACCGACTAGGTCATTAAAAGTCCTGTGAGCAGTGCTGCCCGGCTAAGGCAGGCTAGTTCCTACCTGTTCTGACACCGCACTATGCCCCGGAAGAGGCCAACAGCAGATCCAGGTCCTAGGTGGGGGGAACCACAGGGTTCTGCGCGCTGCCCCTGCCCTGAGCACCAGCTCCGGATTGCCAATGGGAGCTGGGAGGGGCGGTGCCTGCAGGTGAGAGCTTAGGAGCCGGACCTGCTGCTGGCCGTTTCCGTGGTGCAGCACAGTCCACAGTGCCAGGACAAGCAGGAAGCCTGCCTTAGCACCCCCGCTGTGCCGCTGACCAGGAGCCGCCTGAGATAACCCCGTGCCCCAACCCTGTGTCCCAATACCCTGCCCCAGCCCTGCACCCCAAGCCCCTTATCCCCACCCCCGCCCAGAGCCTGCATTCTCAGTCCAGAGCCCTGACCCCCTCCCGCATCCCAACCCCCTGCCCCAGGCCTGAGCCCCCTCCAAACCCTGAGCCCCCTCCTGCACCCAAACCCCTCATCCCTGGCCCCACCCCATAGCCTGCACCCCTAGTCCAGAGCCCTGACCCCCTCCCACACCCCAGCCCCCCTGTCCCAATCCAGAGCCCCCTCTCATACCCTGAACCCCTCATTCCTAGCCCCACCCTGCAGCCCTCACCCCCCCACACCCTAACCCTCTGCCCCAGCCCTGAGCCCCTCCCAACCCCATACCCTTTATCCCCAGCTCCGTTGGGTCACAGGCATCAACAATTTTCTTCAACTGGGTCGCCAGAAAAAAAGTTTGAAAACCACTGGACTAGATGATCTAATGGTCTCTTCTGGCCTTAAACGCTATGAAACTATGAAAGGCAAGTTAAAAGTAATCTCTTTTCCTCTCTAGAGAAGTTCATTAGAACTTTACTCTTGCATATCTGTTTTCTTTTTCCCTATGCTTAATAACAAGAGTAATAATAAATAACAGGAGTCCATTTGGTTACATAGTAGGGACTGTACGGCATATTTTAAAGAAAATAATAGCAAGAGAAATATTTTACCAGCCACAAAAATTGCACCATTAGTGCACTGAATTTCCAGAGCCGCACAGATATTCTTTGGTGAACTTGGGGAACATGGAAAATGCCTGAATAAAAAAAAGAGAGATTAAAAGACAAGCAATTTCAAAACATGATGCTGAATCATTGTAGCAAAAATTAATCCATGCAGTTGTTTCCATGTAAACAAAGTATGACTACAATATAGCCTCCCTATTCATATTAAAAACTGCAAGATCGATTGCGAATCATTAAGGGAAGAAACATGAAACACATTGAGCATAATACATTGCAAAATGTACTTTGTTAATTTATTTTGTCAACTGATGTTATAACTGTATGTATACTTCAAAGTCTACTAGCAAAATGTATTGTAGTACGTTTTACAGAAATAATGAAATTCTTAATCCTGTACAGAACCTAGCTACATCATCTGCTATTAAATCTTTGCTAGGAGGTGGGGAAAAGACCAATGATTTATGTGCAGTTCAGCAAAGTGCATATTAGAAAGTTTCTGCTACCATGTTGCCACCTCATAATTTTATTGTGACTCTCAAAATATTTGGTATTCTTCTTAAAGTCCCAGCTCCCAGAGTCATGGAATTATGTGAGAATCTTAGCATCATTTTTAAAATAAGTAATCTTCACTGTTTCAGAGAAAAGCTTGAAAGTACAAACTCTCAGGCTCAAAAGCCAGAAGTCAAATAAAAAACTTAAAATATATTTTTTTTAATCTCTTGATTTTTTGGGACCTGACTCATGATTTTCATATAGCCCAGGTTGGCAATATTGCTACTATACTATATTTTCAGTTTTAAGCATTCAAAGCACAGAGCACATAGTAATTTACTGCTGGTACAACAGGGGAGCAGCGATGGAATTGTGGCAGTTTGACTATGCAGTAATAATCTAAGGTTGTGCCCTTGTGGTACAATCTAGTCCAGGGGTGTCAAACTCAATTGCACAGGGGGCCAAAACTCAAAACTCGCGGGCCGAACAGTATAA